TTGGCTGTAGCACATCGTGGTTTCCATATGGTATTATATAATTGCATTAGGGCTTCAGTCGATGCTTGTACCCACTTGTCAAGATCTGATAGTGAGAAGATACCATCAGTGATACCACATGCTAGCTTTACAACCTGCCATATGTGGTTTATCGGTTTTGAGTTCCAATAACAAAATATTCAAAACTTATATATTTGATTTATGATAAGAATACCTTATTAGAAAGAAAAAACTTGTTAAAAAATATACTTTTTTATTCTTCTTTAAATTTTGAAATTCTAGAAGAGTTTATTAGTAAATGTATTTCTTAAGCTTTATAAGAATCTTAGATTTACTATAAATAAATATCTTTACTAGAAACAAATAAATAAGCTAGTATTTTGGTCTATAAATATGAACATATGATTCTTTTTATCAATTAAATATTTGTAGTAGTTCTCTCAAGTGTGTTAACAAATTTTTGAAAATTTTGCTTATTTCAATTTGATTTTGAATTTTTTATTGCATTAGAATTCCAGTTGATAATTGGTTAAGATTTTTAATTAGCTAATTAATATATAATAAAAAGATAAACAAAATATGAATTTCTCATATGTTTCTATTATATAATATAACAATAATAAAATAATTAAAGAAAGCAAAAAAACAAGATATTATGATGTTCTCTTAAATAAAAGTAATTTGATATATTTGCCTTTCCCTTTTAAACTAGTTTTTTTTTTCTTCAAGATCAAAAGAAGTTTTATTCTAATTCAATAACAAACTTTTTCTATTGATAATTATTCTAAGAGATATTAAGCAATAATACTTTAAGATGCAAAACTTATTACAAATAATAATTTCTTAAGGGTATAAATTTTGTTATAAATATCTACCAACAGCAGACTCTATCACACAAGCCAAAAAGATTAACCCTAAACTGATCTATCCCAATCTGGAGCTTGAGGATCTATTTCTAGAATAGTGTTCATATAAACTTAAATGAACTGAAAGAACAAAAGGTTATCGGCTACAGAAGGTAACAATCCAGGCAAAAATCGTTAAAACCAAGTGAGTCTGGTAAGGATTATCAAGATTAAATTAGAATTCAAGTAAGGACGCCAGTTCCACAGGTAGTGAAAACAGTAGTGCAACAATATGCTAATGACATATCCCGAGGATCGGTGATAACAATGACTGGAATACTGGGATTAGTCTCTATAATAATATTCCATAATAATTTGCTTCCTGCAATAATGAACCAGCAGGTTTAGGTAGGTTTAAACTAGTGGTAGGATTCCCCCCCTACGGAAGTTCCATCTGACATGTGGGCACATCTTCGTAATATTTAAATGAATGCATAAGTTGGATAATAGTGGTTGGCATAGCTAATCTTATAGTAATATAGGTATTAGACAGTGTTAATCTGCAGATTAATTTATAGAGACATAAAGGGTATCCATATATCAACCGATTTCCAGTTAATTTGTAGAGACACTTGGTATCTGTCTGGATATATAACATATCAATAAAGATTACGCACCTTGTATACATTCTACCATAAAAAAAAAATTTTTTTTGTTATAAATATTTTAAATATTTTTAATTAGTAATAAAATAGTAGAAATTAAATAATTTGCCTAGTTACTGGTAGTAATAAAAAAATTATTTTAATGAACTAAAGTTGATATTGAAAAGTTTTTATTTATCAAAACAAATTTTTCAATTACTCTTTTTTCTTTTTTCTTTTTTTTTTTACTATAAACAAGCATAAAATGCAAGACTTTATTGATTAATTGATAATTCTATTATTACATTAAGTGTCTATTTAAGTTAATACTAGCCTATTGCATAAAAAACTTCTAAATTGATAAAAACATTATATGGATGAAATCACAATAGAAGTAGTTCATAAATGGCTTATACCTGTTCATAAATAGCTAAGTTATGACTAGTAGAAATATTTTTTTTAGTGATATAAAAGATTTTCAGAAAATTGGTCTTGATTTGATAAGTATTTAATATGTTTTTGTATAATATTATTGTTATTGTTATTCTTAACAGGTTAATACTGGTTTAGTTCTTGTTTAATTAAAGTATTAGAGTTTGGTTGACTATTGAGATTGTATAGAATATTTGAAGGAGTTAAGCTGATTTTGGTTTTTGATTTTGGGAAAAAATTTTAATATCATTAAAGTAGCACAGTAAAATATACTTTGTTTAAGTTATTTAGAAGGGTTTGGTTAAAACAAGTAAAAGAATTCAAAATTTTACTTAAATATACTTTTAGAAAGAAATAAGTGGTATTGAAGATGATAAGAAGAATGATTATTATAATAATAATAAAAGAGAAGGTATATAAAGACAAAGTTAAGAAGAGGGATTGCCATGAACCCTTCTCCATAGAACTAAAGAATAAACAAGACTTTTAAACTTGCTTGACCTTTGATCAGAGATTTCATCCTGATGCAATAGTAGTCCTTAAAGTTCTTATGTCCTTGAGCTTATAATATAATTAATATATTGAAAAGTGAAGTGAAAATATTTCTTTTAAGAAAATTATCATAAAAGAAAATTTTCAAAAAATCAGTAGTAAACAAGTAAGAGTTTTTTTTTTCTCTTTTTTTTTTTCTTTATTTTTTTAAAAAATAAAATTTTTTAACTTTTAGAATTATAGGTTTATATTGAAATGACAATTTAAATATATAGTAGGCATTATAAATATCTAAAATTTTAATCTAGCACATTTAAAGTTATATTATGTGTCATTTTATAAAACAACAATCTATATAACATAAATTTTAATTAAAGTAAGAATATGTTTACATGACTTGTATTTTAAAAAAATTTTTTTATAACTATTAAAAAAAAAATTGACATAAATGTTATCTTTATTGAAGCTCGAAATACAAAGAATAGTCATAAGTCAGCTTTAGACAGATAATGTCTAAAAACCTGCAGAAATAATTCGTATAACAGGTTATCCAAAGTCCACAGTATATAATATAATCAATCGAATTAAAAAAAGATCTTTTGTTATACCACTTCTTATATCTGGAAGACTCCTAATTTTTGCATTCCCACAATTTCGTCACCTTGGTCAAATTATGCAGACCAATAAAGCAGCTACTGCAGTTAAAATGGTCAAAAAGCTTGTCCTCAAAAATTCCCACCTGAAGGTTTCTGTTTATACCATTCAACGTAAATTAAAACAAGCTTTTCAGTTTGTCATTTGTTGTTCAGTTGCCATTCCTTTTCTCTAGCCTCACCACGTCACCACTTGTCTTGAATAGGCTTAAGATTATGTTGATCATGATTGATATCACATGATTTTTTTTGACAAAATGACCTTTTAGATGTTTAGAAATACACAGTTAGTAAAATATCATTGTGGGGAGTCGCAACCACACTGAAGTATAGTGAAACATCCCTACAAAATTCATGCTTGAGGTGCATTTTCGGCATAAGGTCCGATCATGCTAATTTTATTTACAGAAAATTTTAATTCTACTAAATATCAAGAAATTCTTGAAACTTATTTTTTTCTTCAATTTTCTAGGTTAGCTTGTCGCAGATTTTATTTTCAACAGAATAATTCTTCTGTTTATAATTAAAAAAAAATATGTTGTCTCCTTGAAGACCAAGGCATCTGAATTCTCAATTGGCCTACCTATTCACCTGACTTAAATCCAATTAAGAATTTATGGGCAATACTTAAGTGCAAGGTCGAAAAAGAATCAAACTTACGTCTAATAAAAAAAAAATCTTTTGAATAATATTTTTTAGCAAATTATCTATCGGGCATAGGACAAATTAGAATGGAGTTTGAGATGTGTGGCTAATTTGGTAGTTAGGTGTACTTGCTTTAGGGCTGGATCTTTTTCTTTTCTTTCGTGTGAAGCTTTAATATAAAGTTTTAGAATTTAATATATTATTATATTTATAAATTAATAAATATATAGAATTGCAATTTGATTAAAGACAAAAAATAAAATAAAAAAGTTTTAAAAATATTTTTCTAAAAGTATCTTTAATATTTTTGGATATTATTTATTTTAATAAAAGAAGTAAGTAATCAAAAAGGCTTGGATTTTATTTATTAAAATAACTTTTTCAATAATAATTAAATAGATAATGATTTTTTTTTTTAATTACTTTTTTTTTTATTAATTTTATATAGTTTTAACAAAAAAGGATAACATAATTTGAATTTATAATTATAATTGTAAAGATAATTTACAGGTTTTAATCCTATTGGAAAACTTAAATTTAATTCTTTTCATTAAAAAAATAGCATATCACATTATAAATTATATTTAAAGACTTTGATTATTAACAGGTAAATTGAATTGAAAAAATTTTACTTTGCATATATTCTCATACTTGTAATAGTTCTTTATAAATAAATAAATAACTAACTTTAGCCTAATTACAAATTAAAAAAAAAAGAAATAATATTTATTTACTAAAAACAAAAAACAAATATTTCGACAAAGAATTTATTTAGAATTATAATATAAATAAACAAGTTTTTAAGATTTAGAATCTAGAATTAGAATTTTATTTTTTACGGAATCGAAGAATTCGTTACTTTGTAATTTAATTAATTTAATTTTATTATTTATTAAAATAAAATTGATAAAGTCTCCGACTTAATTTTCTTGACAATATTGTATTACGCAACGCAGATACCTTAAATGGTTCTAGATTAATGAGTAATTTTCTGTCATCAAGTGTTTTATTTTCGAAGACGAACGTGCGTACATGTGTACATGAGGCTGCAGCATTTTGCCGTTTAATGGTAATACGTGTCCTACCATCTACAAATATCTACAAGTCAAATCTATTGAAAAAAAAATTATAAAAAAAAAAAAAACAAAAAAAAAAATTTCGAATCAACCGTTAACGAAACAATGAAGTTTTCGGATTCGCTTATGTCAAATCAAAAGGACAATCCTTGGATTGTCCAAAAGTATGGTGGTACCAGTGTAGGAAAATTTTTAAACAGTATTGTAAATAATATAGTAAAGTGAGTATATTATTAACTTGTAAGAAAACTCAGTGAAAGCGAAATTAAAAAGTGAATTCAGTTATTGAATGTCGGAGATTCTTGTGATTTTAGGAAACATTTAGAGGATTATCGGGTTGTTCTAGTATGTTCTGCTAGAAGCTGCGAAACAAAATCGAAAGGAACTACGAATATGTGAGTGTTTCATATTTGAAAGAACCATTTGTTAAACACGAATATTAATTCTTTAATTCACTAGGCTTCTCAGAGCGGCGGAAGAATCACAAAAGTCGGATTCTGATGAATACCTTAGAATAGTCGATCAAATTGCAGCCGATCATGTCCAAGGTGCTCGTTCTGTGATTAATAACGCCAAGATCTTGAAAGAATTGGAACAACAGCTTTATAAAGATATCTCAGAACTCAAGAACTTATTGAATGCAACTAAAGTATTGTATAACTAAGATTTAATGAGCTTTGGTTTCCACGTATTCTAATACTCAAATTATTTACGAAATTAGATTATTAACGAGATATCTCCTCACTCTAAAGACAAGATAATTGGATACGGTGAAAGGTTGTCTTGTCGTATTGTTCATGCTGTTTTACGTGATAAGGTATTTTTTGATCTCGGGTTTCAAGTGCTTGCTCATATATATGTACATTGTTCTCGAATAATAATGAGCATACAATTTATAGGGTATTGATGCAGAGTTTGTAAGCTTGGAAAATGTTATTGGACAAGGAAAATTCGACCGTGTTGATCTTGATCGAACTTTTTATGATCATCTGGCTGATGTTATGTCGTCAAAAGTCAGAAAATGCGGGGATCGAGTACCCGTAGTAACTGGTAAGTTACAATTCGTAATAATAACTATAATAAACATTTGTTGAGTCTATAAACTTACTTATAGTTTACAGGAAATTTTGGTGTTTTCCCGGGAAGTTTACTTGCTAATGTCGGCCGTGGGTACACCGATTTGTGTGCTGCCCTTCTCGCATCTGGACTTGGTGCCAAGGAGCTTCAAATTTGGAAAGAGGTTGATGGAATTTTTACTGCAGATCCGCGAAAAGTTAAAAGCGCTAGACTTCTAACTACTATTACCCCAGAGGAAGCTTCTGAGCTTACATATTATGGTTCTGAAGTTATACATCCGTTTACTATGGAACAAGTGATGCGTAGGAGTATTCCTATCCGAATAAAGAACGTCATGAACCCACTGGGTGAGGGAACAATTGTATTTCCGGATAATTCTGTCGAGAATGGATGGGCGAAAAGTTCCAACATTCCTGACATAAACCAGAATGGAAATCATTTTGACACTTCTAAGAAGCAGCCTACGGCTGTGACCATTAAGGATAATGTTATTGTCATTAATGTCCATTCGAACCGCAAAATGATCAGTCATGGATTTTTCGCGCAGATTTTTGCCGCATTGGACACATATGGAATTATAGTTGATTTGATTTCTACAAGTGAAGTTCACGTTTCAATGGCCCTTGGTGCGAATATTGAAGAACGCGATTTGCAAGCGGCAATACAAGAATTGAAGAAATTAGGACAGGTAACTCATTTATAATATGATTTGCATTTAAATAATATTTTATGACCGATTTTTATGTTTCAGGTGGATGTTCTTAAAGATATGGCCATCCTGAGTTTGGTTGGAAAGCAAATGAAAAACGCGGTCGGTATTGCTGGAAAGATGTTTACAACACTTGCCGCAGCAAAAGTCAACATCGAAATGATATCGCAAGGTGCTTCTGAAATTAACATTTCTTGTGTCATCGATGAAGTGAACGCAGAAATAGCACTCAACGTTATACACGCCAACCTATTACCTCCTTACAATATTTAATTTTGTGCATATTTTAGAATCATATTTTAATACACTTTACATTAAAATGATATTTATTTACTTGATCTAGATAATAGAATTTTTTTTCTACAAAACTGTTTAATACGTTAGACTTAATACGGATGAAATAAAATCATTTTAGAAATCACGAAATTTACTAGTGTTTTTTTATTGTGTGCAATTTCTATATATTTAGCATTGACTCTAACTTGGTTCCTTCAAGACATACAGTAAATAAGGATTGGTAATTTTGAAAATAACTTGATTCGTCTTTTTTTTTATTCCCAAATGGTTCAGTATTACTTATATTGACATCTAATTATTCTAACTTCGATGAGTATTTTTTTAGAATCTTATTTCTTTTTTGTTTGATCTTTAATGTATTTATTTCTTTTCTAACATTACTATATTCAAGCTTTGTGATTACAACAGAAATATAATGATTACTGTATTACAAATATTTATTAAACTCAGCTAATTCTATGGTGCAACAATACTTTTTTTTATTCATAAAAGAACATTAGATGTCAAAGATTTATTAGTATGTTTAGGATAACACAATTACTAGGATTTCTAATAATACCATTTCAATATCAATTCAATATCAATTTAATATTTAAATTTATTATAAATTTATATAAGAGTGGATTATAATCCATGTATTAAATTTATTATAGATCAACACTATTTTAATATTACTTTGATATCAGTTTTGATACCTTTTGAAGTTTTAACAATTATATCAAATATTTTACAGAGTTGAGTATATAAATTAATATTAAATTATTTACAATACTAATTATAATTATTTCAAGTATCTTTAATGTATGTGAAATTAGTTTAATATAAGGAATAGTTAATATTTATTCAGAATTAATATGTTATCTTGTAATTTGTCATAGTTATAATAAATAACTAATTTTAAATTAAGAATATTGACAATTGACTTGAATAAAAAAAACAATTTATTTTATATTAAAGGTTATTTTAATAGTTACCATATTTATTTTATAAGTTATTTTTTATTTATTTAATAAAATGTTAATTGTAATTAAATATATTATAACTTTAAAACCATATTAAATATTTTTATCAAGTTATAATAATAATTTAAGTATTAATTTATTATGTAATATTAAATATATAATGATTGTTAAGCTACTAATTATTTTAAGCTATTTATATAGATTTTTTTTTTTAATGTTAGAGTGAGGTATTACTCATGATCTTTATTAATAAAATAAAAGATTAACTTATTACATGATTAATATTAAGATATAAATTATATCACTATAGATATTAACCTACTACTCATTAAACAAATATATATCATCTGAAAAATCCTTGAGCAGGAAAAACCTGAGGAACTATTTGTTATGAAAAATAAAAAATAAAAAAACATTTGGGGCAAGATTGCCAGCATTGTAAAACATTTGGATGAGAAGAAAAAGAAAAAAAAAATTGAAGCTTTTGTTAAATTTGGTTCCTAAATACAATTAGATGTTTCAGTTAGGTGTTGGCACCGCACAAGCCACATGTAACTTAATAAGTTTGGTCATGTGATGTTTTGTAATGTTATTGTTATGTGATATAATTATGTTATAATGTAAATAATAGGATAACTGGAGTATATTCCAGATGTCTATTATGTTGTTTTGATGAGATATTGTATATTGTGATTACCAGAACCCATATAGAGCACTGATTATACGCTCTCCCAATCCAGTAAGTTGTTATGTTATTTTGATGTATTAAGAAAATATGGAGTGTAATTGATGTTTTATGTATTGTAAATCGTTTAGTGGAATAAGCTGATTATGGTTTTTGTGTTGAAATTTGTGAGTGAGAACTGATAATTAATCAGAAGATTATATAAAATCTAGTACTAGTTATCATCAGCAGAAAATAAAAAAAACTCTAAAAAAATAAAATGCTACCTCTTGAAAATATGATTGTTTTTGAGTTAAAGATGAGAGATGTGATTTTTTTATAGCAGTTATATATAGAGATGGCCTTCACATAGAAAATTTTCTTTTTATTTGTTTTCTCTATTCCAAGTTATTGCCCAGTACTGTTACCAGTCACTAGACCTCTTAGCACAAGTTCTATTGCTGGAAACTCCAGAGGTCAATCTTATCCTTAAAATCTCTACTGCTTTAAATTAATTTTCTGGTTTATATCCTCTCTCAAAAGAAAATATTTCACTAGACAAGGTTCCTTGGACAAGAGAAGTTTCCTAAAAAGACAATTTTTTATAGATGGAGATGTTATGAGAAAGAGTTTTTTTTTAGATTATAGCTATTTATATAAATTTTATAAGAATAATATATATATATATATATATATTTTCAATAGGTAAAAAAAAACTCTTTCCCGTAAACCACCAAATTTTTAAAAATTACTTTTTTTGGTAATTTTAAGAACACTTGTCAAAAATCATCTTTACTTTCAAAAAATATAAAAGAACCACAAGTAATAAAGAACTATAATCAAAACACAGCTATACTGAAAGGTGAATCCACTCTGTGAATCGT